TGAAGCAAACATTAAAATAATGTTTAGCAAGATATAATAAAATATTAATGTATGATATTTTTTGCAGTGTCACTTCTGGCTCATATATGCTAAAATGGTAAATCATGAAATGCTGGGTAGAAATATTCCAGAGCACAGTTGCTATTGCTATTGTTGTTATCTGGAGACTACTACAGAGCTTTAGAACAGCTGAAATCAATTCCAGAGCAAGAAGAAATAAACAATGAGGACACTTCCCAGAATTTTTTTTTTATAAAAAGTTTCCTGAATATTAATCCTATATAGCTGAGATGAATGGGACAAGAGGCCATTCAGAGACAGTTAAAATGCATGGTGATTCCCTTAAATACTATTTGGTGTAATAAATGTCAGGAACATATACTGTACACTGATTTGGAATCAACATGAGCAGAAAATTGAGAATTCAGTTTCTGGTGATTTAAAACAAGTGGGTGTATTATTTTAGGTTACCATAAAACCAGCACCTGGATCACCTATTTTACTTTATTCATTTGACTCAACAACTTCCTGTTGAGGAGGCAAAGTCATAGACATATCTACAAGGACAACAGAGCCTCTTGTGAGCTTTATGTAATAAAGCATTACTTTTCCAATTCAGAATTCTAGTCATAAAAATATAAAATCCATTTTAAAAAGTGTCTGTGTTCCTTCATTCCCACCTCCTCAGCAACCCATGATCCTACATGGAAGTTTTCTCTACCATATTCTATTATATATATTCTATTATATACTAGAATATATCTATATTCATCTATATATTGTATAATATAAACATAATATATATACCAAATTGGCTTCTCAAGTTGTGTGGCTGTGGGTGTTTGTGTGTATGTGTGTGTGTATGAATGATTGAAATACAATATTTGAGCTGTTAAATTTTGCCTCATTAACCTTTCTTGAATAGCTGTTTAACAAATCACTGCAGTTGTTTAGTAACATGATTGTCAACTGAATATTAGTTTCCCCATAGACTTTGCTTGTCAGAAGATCACAAAAGGTGATCTCATGGTTTTGGGACACTGCAACCTTCATAAAAATGTCAGTTGCCAAGCCACTGAATTTTGATAACATGACCTTGGGGATAGTGCAATGGTAATTAAGAATGAAAAACAATCACTTTGAACAATCACTAAATGAACTGTAAGTAAAGGACAACCTGTACGGTTTTTTAATCAATACCTACTTAATCTGTGTAACTTTGCTACTATGTATGTGTTAAGTAACTATTCCAAGATACTTTCTCATATGTAGGCACCATAAATCTGATTCAGCATCTGTATCTAACTATGTAGTTAAATTTTGTTTCTATGTGTTGTGAACTTCAGGCAAGTAGTGATTCAATTAATTGTAGTTTATTGTGTATACAAACATTAGGGATAGTTTTGTTTTCATTAGGGAGAATGCGGCTGTATTGCAAACGTGTTTTGGACTCTATTCATTGTCTACATAGTTGAAACTTTTATCGTGACTATTGTTCTAAAGTCACTATTTTATATTAGTTAGCATTTACAGAACATGGTGTATATGCTGATGCCTTATTTAAATTATTTTCTCATATTTTGCTTAATTGTAATCAGCATGCCATCCTCTTTTCTTTTCTCGATGTTCTTAGAACTATTACTGTTTACAGTGAATACCAAACAACCTACGATTTTACACTGAAATAAAAATTCAAGATTAATTAATACATCATGATTTATTGGGAGCAACTATAGGCATATGGAATTTTTCTACAGCAATATTTAGATACATTTTAAATAAGAAATTCATCATTTGATTACACATTATACAATAGACAAGGCACTAAAATGTACACCTACTATTAATTTTCATTATGGATTTTTTTTGGAGTCTCTTTTGATGAAAAAATAAATATTACTGAACAAATCCTTCATCAAAAAAAAAATGTTATCATGAAACCAAGATACATAACAAGGTTCCTCTTATTCTTTAAATATTTATATATAAAGCATAAGGTTCTGGTTCTAGAGACCAAATAGGGCAACAATTAATATTTGGACATAATAGCAATTTTCCATATTTTCAATTATATAAGTTTCAAAATAATTCTGTAAAAAGCAGAAACAGCTTTGGTACTAATTTGAAGAGGTACCGGTACGTATGAGGATATTTGAGATGGTTTCTTACAATTTGAAGAGATTTCAAAAAAGGCTCTGTAATATGCATTTGTTCAATGGATAGATCCAATGCAAGTGAGAATTATTTGAATGAAGTAGACAGATTGATTGGTAGTGTCAACTCATTATCAAATTTGGAACAAAATGACTAAATTTAGAAGGATTTGATCCAAGCCAGTTAGTTTTTTTCAGTACCCAGGAAATAAATGATGGAGCTGTCCTATTTGCGCCAATATTGAAGCTACACAAACGTCTTGGTTAAATGTTATATCATACAGAATGCTAAACCATAAATTTTGATGTATAAAACACTGGCTACGCCAAACTGAACAAACCACATTTTAAACTAGCATGGTATGCGCCACCGGCCATAAACTTACACAACTAGAACTTGGAGTATATGGTAGCAGAAACAGATACTCAACAAATTGTTATTTATGTCTTATCTTCATGATATTGCTACTTCAAGGTTCTCTTTGCCCATGCTAATATTTGACATTTATAAACTTTGATAGTTTGTGACAGAAATCAAGACATAGAATAATGAGAATAATACTATTATGGAACATTCACTAGAAATTGAATATAAAATGAACAAAGATCTGAACAACTGGTGACCCATTAAGCCAAACATACTGCAAGAGTGCTAGTCACTGAATTTAGCTTGGTGGTTCACAACTTGTGCAGTTTGAGATGCAATTCATCTATAATGGCTTGAACTGAAACTATGAATCAGAACATCTATACAGTTTAAATATCAGTAGTGCAAAGAGATCTCTTAGAAGTTTAAAAACTGTTAAACATAGTTATTAAACAAATATCCATACAACTTTACCTTCATGAATGAAATTGGATAGAACAAATTGAGCCAGATATTTAGCCATCATGCTAAGATATTTAGCATATTTTCAATGGAATCACAAAAAATGTTAACTTCAACAATACTCGCTCAAAATTAAAAATTACATTTCATTTTTTGTATTAAACAGTGGTTGACATAACCTTTGAAAAATCCCAATTTGCTCATCCCCCTGAGTGTGCTTAATGGAATCTCTTTGGATTTTGTCTTTATAATATTAGTTCCAGATATGATAGAATTAAATAATTGCATGCCTTACTTTCTCTTTCATTTTCAGCCATGTCTTAATATAGATGATTCTTTGGGTTTTTTCCCATTTATTTGGTTTTAAAAAATAATTCCCTTATTTTTATTTAGTTTGGTTTATTTAAAAATAGTAAATAAAAAAACCTGATCATAATCCCATTCAATAAGAACAGTATATAGATAGCTTGGAAAAGACCTTTTCCCAATATTCAACTATTAAAAATAAACACAAGTTTGGAACAAACTAAAATTCAAAGACATGATTAATGTTTTATTCAAGTTAGCCATTGAAAAATGCTACTAAGCTGACTGGAAAAATCACACAATTATTTGGAAATACATAAATAATTAAATGACACTAATTTGTTGTGTAAAATTATGATTTCATTAACTTTTAGTTTGCTTTTTTCTAGGTAAATGTAAACTTAGAATATATAAAAATTAATTTCTTTATAATACCAGAGAAAAAATAATCAAGTCTTAGTATGTTGTATACTCCAAGAAAAGTAACAAATATGATATCTAAAACATAATACAATAGTCACTGAAGCTGTAAATATAACTTGAATGTATGTGACGTGTTAAATGCAGTGAAATCTCTTATCCAGAATTTTCTGCTATCAGTTGAATAATGTCCAACGATTAGAAAAAAATAAATGTATGCTATGGAAATATATAGTATATTCATACCAGTAACAAAATTTAATTTACTTAGTGCAAAATTTGAACTATACTTTTCACTGATTTTTTTTAATAATAGATTTATATTAAAATGAAGTTAGTTGTTTTAAAAACTCCAACAGTTTTTGCCTCTTAGTCTAAGCCAAAACCAAAAAATACAAAAAATAAATTGTTTTGGTTTTACCCATTTTGTTCTACAAAGGATGAGACTCCACTGCTTTAATTAAATTCAACACACAAGCTAGTCAACAAGCAAATGTTTAAATTCTGGATTCAGATTGTTTACAACATTCATTACAACCTCTCCTGTAAACCTGGGTAAGAAAACAGTGTCCTTTTGTTAATTTAGAACTACCCAAAAGGAGAACCTAATAAGTAATTAAAAAAATATGTTAGGGTGGTTGCATAGCTATGAGGTTGTTCCTTCAGTAACGAGCTATGCCTCCCTTTTGTTTTACTGGTAGCTTTCTATGAATAATAACATTTTGCCTATTTATTCAGATATTTAAAAGATTTGGTAATGTTCTTAATAAGCTTCAAGTCAGTGACCAGCAAAAATGCATGGAGTGAAAAAAATGTTTCTAGAAATCTCCAAAAGGAAAACACGTCAGAATTGTTGGAAACCCAATGAACACAACATAATTCCTACTCTGAAAAAAGTCTAGTCCCTATCATCTCTGCTGATTAGTCTGAAATAATAATGCTACATATTAATTGTGGACATTCCAGGCTACTAGCTATTTTAAAGATAGAATAGTTTTCTTTCTATTTCATATTATATTTGTTTCCTTAAACTCTTTAATTGGTTCAAAGGTAAAAGCTCTACAAGGGTTGCTTCAAACATTGTGTGCCTCTAAACATCCAGTAATGTGTGTGTACATAGTAGGAGGAAGCCACAAACATTCACAAGCAGTACTTGCATAAAATTAATAAATTGCAAACTCTATATGCATTTACTTTGGATAAAACATTCATAGGACGAGGCTGCAAATAGAAGTGGGCTGTTTCTTTTTACTGCAGGCCAGATGCCATTGTGAGTTTTACCAGCTAGTGGGCTGATTGTGCCATGCAATGCAAATCAAAGGCAAAAGAACTGAAGACAGAAAGCGGGGAACACACATTTCTAGTATTCCACAATTATAACTATGACTGAACAGACAGACTTTCAATCAGACAGCTGTTGGAAATCTGAATTCCTTTTCTTGTATAGCAATTGCTATATTATCACCCTTTTCACCTTACTTGATAATTCAACTGAGTCACTCTTCAAGTCTTAGCAACTGTACCTTAAGATACATTCATCAAATAATTAATTGAAAAATTCAGCTAAAAAAATAAAATAACATAAAATGCCCAATAGGATTGAGCTGGCTACCATGGAAAAGAGTGAGTTTATTGGGCATACTTGGAAATTCCATTAAAAAGTTACATCAACATTTTGCCTCCAAAAATGTGGAGATTTCTTTGTTGTTTTATGAAATGAAAACCTACCTAAACCCTACTTTAGGTATTTATTGACATTTGTTCATAGCCAACAATTACACTGTCATTCTAAATACAGGAATTGAACCTAATTCTCAAACTATTTTCCAATGATCAAGTTACTTCAGCCTAATGAACCACCAGCTGCCGCATGTGCTAGGGTGAATTAGGGAAAGGCCATTCTTTTGTAACAGTCTGCAGTTTTCTTTCCCAGTACATTTTTTTTTTGTTTAACACTTCCATCTTGATTCTGTGTTCTTCTTCAGCCATTTCACATTCCCTTTCTATCTGTTGAATTTTTGCCACATGCACTTCATTCATTTGGATCAGCTGCAGTTGTAAAATAGACATTTGCTGATGGTGTTCCTCTTCATGCATTTTTTTCAAATCACTTTCTTGAGCAGCTTTATTTCTGAAGTTTTTATTTCCAGTTACTCTGACTGCTGAACAGGAAGGCTCAGACTGTGAGGTACCTTCACATACCTGGAAATGTACAAGTCCTTTTTCTTCATCACATGATTCTTTGTTAATAACACTGAAAGATTCTGGGAAAATACAAGAAACAGTTAAAAACTGTATGAGTTCTTTTTAAAGAATTCTCCCTATTATAAGATCTAATTCACCTTGTGGAAAGAAAGTATTTGAAATATACCTGGATTCCCATTATCAGCATGACATTTACTGAATGCCCTTGGCAAATCACAAACAGCTGTACTATTTCATCTAGTGATTTGTTATGAAGAAAAAGCATTTTATAAGGAGGTTAAGATTTCAGTGTTAAAAATAAAATGACACTGTATAACTAAAAACATTCCTGTAATCTTCCATGAACATTTGGGGAAATTGTCTACAGCAGGACAATATGAAATTACAAACATATTTTAGGGTGGGCACTCCTCTTCCCCAAAATGCTAAAGGCAATTGGAAAGAAAGATTGTTGTTGATATATGTATATACATATAATTTTCACTTCTGAAAATGTTTCACTTCTGGTACATTGTGTAAATATTTCCTACTTTACCTCAGTTCCGAGCTTGGGAATAAGGCTGAAATTCATCTGGTTTATTGAAAGAGGAAATATCCATAAATTTAAACTTAGGTCTTGGTTCAAGAAGTTGTCAGTTTTGTAATACTATCCATCCTAGGCACTTTGAACTTAATGGACTGAAAGAGGAAGGTATAGGAAATTTGTCCTAGCTTCTCTTTTTGTTTGTAGAACTATAGGTTATAGAACCTTTTTCTATTTATGACAAGAAAGAAAAAGAAAAACTACCCATTCCAAAATGTTCCACTTCAGATAATTAAACATTAAACGTATTTCAATTGTTTATAAGATACATTTACATTAAGTGATCACTGTGACTTTCAAAAGTGTAATTTTTTTGGAGGGGGGAAGGCTTTTTTACCATTACAAATTGTTTAATTGTAGTATGCTTTCTATAACTTCTTAATAAAACAAAATACTGCTAAAACATTATACAAATTTGTACATAATCATATTTAAAATAGTACAATTTGTACAGAAGATTATTATTAATAATTTAAAAATCTAACTAATTGGGAATTAAATATATGACATCAAAAGGCGTTAAATTTTTAAAACCAAAAATTAAAAAAAATAGTAAGAAATTAAAGGGGTTATCCTACCTAGCTCCTAAAGACTTGCCAGGAATGTAGTATAAAACCTTAAAAAGTTTGATATAGTTAAAATACAAATAGTAATTCCAAATCCCCAGCGTGAAGAAAGCTTAGTGAATCCTGGTTTCACCCACGTGTCTGCTAACAATACCAGCCATAACAAAGCATAGGTTGCACTCTATGTTCTGGAAGGACTCCACTGTCAACAATTTTCTCTCTGTTCTACTTTGAGATAAAAACATGGTGATGATGCAATAGCTAAGACACAGTTCAGGACTCATCTTGCTGTTATTACAGCTATGAGCAGTGAATTATGTCTCACTAATTATACAGTGAATTGTATATGTGATTTGCTTACACTTTGAAACTGATGTCATTATACAGATATCAGTGGATAAATGCAGTGCAAATATCCTATCTATTTTTGAAATATAAAAAAAAAGATTAATGCAGGTCACTACATTATGACTGTACCTTGATTGGAAGTTTCAGGCTGATACTCAGAATCTTCTTCTGGTGGAGTTTGTAAAAAATATACTTGGTTTGGTATCATGTTGGTGATCTTCTCTTTTCCTAGGATGTGATTACTTATAAGTGGACTAATGCATCTTTTTACCTTATCTCTTCTTTCATGTGCCATTATTTTCTTTGTCCGAGCCTTGATGTTCTCCCAACATTTTTTTAACTGCTTGAAATCTCGGAGTGATACATTTGGTTGGGAATTATATTCATGGGCAAGGGCCTGCCAGGTCCGTTGTTTCAATGCAATAGTCCTTGCATCACTCTTTTTACACTCAAGTACATACTTATATTTCTCAACTAATGCCAGCAGCACACTCTTCTCTACTTCAGAAAAGTATTTGGCAGGCTTTATTACTTCACTGTTTTGCATTTTCTGTCAATTCTCTGGGATATCAAAGCAAGCTGAAATTCAATAGGAAAGCTTTAGATTTGGAAACATGAACATTTTAAAGTCTACATTTTAATCATAAAATGTAATTTTCACATATCCACAAGAAATACAAACACATATATATGACTCAGCCAATTTGTACAATCATTAACTGGTGAGTTCAAAGAAAATTTGGTGTAATTTCAAATGATTTATAACTTACTACCACTGCAAGATATTGTCATAGTCACTTGCTTTGTTATTTTAAAATACATGGAAAATAAAATATCTTAGTTCCAGTTACCCACAAAAATGGCATGCCCATGTTCAGAGGTAATATACGTAGCTCTGAATACTAGTAAAGGATGGTCATTGTTCTTCATGTCCTAATTACAAGCTTCCAAAAGGCATCTAGTAAACAACCACTACAGACAGAAATATGTATTAAAAGATCTTTTAGGCTAAACTGCTTTTCTATAAAACAAAATTAAAATACCAGCTATCAGATAATTGTAGCATATGGTTCATTATTTCTCTTATACTTTACTTTGGAAAAGATACAAATTCTATTACAGAGTAGAATATTCTAAAGAAATAATATATTTACATTTCATCATTTGAGCGAATTCTTAGAATATATTTTAAAAAGGGATACATGAAATTCTGAAGCAACTTGAATATTCTGCTATTCATAATTTTTTAATTTCATTCAAAGGAATTTACTATTATGAAGTAACAGATAATATTTTATTCGAAAGTGTCTGTTTAATCTTACAAATTAAATTTGTAGATAAAGATGCTCAAGTAAGGTATGTATATAACACAACCTACTGCAATAGCAGTGATAAGTTATCACATAGAAAAAACAAATGAATCACTATTGATTTACATCTGAATTCTCTTGGATGATAATCAGCCCCAAAAATGATTTCCAAAAATCTGAAAGTGTTTATAAGTGGAATTATTTAATATTTACTGTCTTCTTGCTCTCACTACTGACAAGCATGCCTGGCCTAGTCTTTGTGAAGCAGCTGCTGGGAACTCAAAGACTGTATTCTTGTTCAGTGTGGCAATCCCCTTGTGGGAAGAAGGCTTCATGAAGCCAGCAGATGCCTCACAGAGAGTTAGATCACTCATGCATCATACAATAATACAATACAATACAATAGCAGAGTTAGAAGGGACCTTGGAGGTCTTCTAGTCCAACCCCATCTGAGGCAGCAGAACTAGTCCAAGTCATCTAAGGCAGCAGAAGGTCAACTAAATATGATAGAGCACAGGGCCACAAGGGTGACTTGTATTACAGAACTTGCTGGATTGGCTTGGTGTTCGTACCACATTTTGGGCTTGGAGTGGTTTTGTCTTTGCCTTGCTGGGCTTGGAGTGGTCCAGAGGTACAGCCAGATACATATGCCCAGAATACTTATGCGCTTTGCTGGACCTCTGCCTGACCTGTATCTACACTATATTGCCAAACTGCTTCTGATTATGTGGATGGGTGAGCGAATACTTTTGGCAATATAGTGTATTTTAAATACAATAAAGGTTTTTACAGACAAAACATAGCTATGCTGTGTCCGCATTTTAGCCAATCTCTACACAGAAAATGTAGAAATTAAAGCCCTAAAGTTAGGCTTTAATTTAAATTAAAGCCTAACTTCACAGGAATTCTATCCACTCATTGATGGTATAGGTAGGTAGACAATACTTGAATCAAGAGTAAGGTTCTACATTTAGGTAACAAAAATGAAATGCACAGGTACAGTATAGGTGGTACCTTGCTCAATAGTAGTAACTGTGAAAGGGATCTTGGAGTCCTAGTGGACAACCATTTAAATATGAGCCAGCAGCAGCTGCCAAAAAAGCCAACACAGTTGTAGGCTGCATAAACAGAGGGATAGAATCAAGATCAATTTGGCAGCAGCTGCCAAAAAAGCCAACACAGTTGTAGGCTGCAACAAAGCTGATTAGGGGACTGGAAACTAAAACATATGAAGAATGGTTGGAGGAACTGAGTATGTCTAGTTTAATAGGAAGAAGGTCTAGGGGAGACATGATAGCAGTGTTCCAATATCTCAGGGGCTGCCATAAAGAAGAGGGAGTCAAATTATTCTCCAAGGCACCTGAGGGTAGAACAAGAAGCAATGGGTGGAAACTAATCAAGGAGAGAAGCAACTTAGAACTGAGGAGAAATTTCCTGACAGTTAGAACAATTAATCAGTGGGACAGCTTGCCTCCAGAAGTTGTGAATGCCTCTACACTGGAAGTCTTTAAGAAGATGTTGGATAGCCATTTGTCTGAAATGGTATAGGGTTTCCTGCCTAGGCAGGGGGTTGGATTAGAAGACCTCCAAGGTCCCTTCCAACTCTGCTTTTGTATTGTAAAGTATTAAGATTAAAACACAGGAATTGGAAACCTTCACCAAACACATCCATTCAGTGGACAGATACATTGTTCACTTTGGAAGATGTTAAGCAAAATAGTTTCACCTTCCTGGACTGTGCGTTACACATTAAGGAAGACAGAAACTTTAACACCAAAGTTTACAGAAAACTCATACAGAGATCAATATCTACATCTTGATTTTCCACACTGACTAGAACACAAAATGGGAGTTATCAGAATCCTACACCACTGGACTGAATGTTTGTCTACCAGTAAAGATGGAAAAGAAAAAAAATTAAAACACGTCAAGGAAGTTCTCCGAACGTGTGACTAACACAACTGGTTCTTCATCAAATCCAAAAAAAGACACAGCTGGAATTCCTCCATAACAGACAAAGAAGAGAACAACAAATGAAGCAATGTTGTCATTCCATATGCTGCAGAAATATCTGAAACGGTCAGGAGGATTTTCAACCAACACAATATATATACATGCTGTAAACCCAAAAATACATTAAGGCAGAAGCTTGCCCACCCCAAGGATAAATCACCCAAACACAAACTGAGCAATGTGATTTATGTGGTACAATGCAGTTGTAATGCAATATATACAAATATGTCCATATCTGTACATTGGAGAAACAAAATAACCATTTCATAAGCATATGGCACAACATAAGAAAACAAATTCACCAGGATCCAGCAGTCCATCTGCATTTGAAAGACAAAAGTCACTCTTTTGAAGACAGCAAAGTCCACATTCTGGACAGAGAGAACTGCTGGTTTGAAAGAGGGGTCAAAGAGACCATCTACATTAAGACTAAACAGTCCTCTCTCAGTAGAGGGGGAAATATATGACACCACCTATCTTTTGTTTACAACACAGTCCTTTCAGCATTTCCAAGGTTTAACACCTGATTGCACTATTCAGGTGTTCCTAGGAGCACAAAACAAACCTCCAAGTAGCCCCAACAACTCTCAGAAAGAGTATTAACAACCAGATGACTGCAACAAATACTAATCCTTCCCTCCTTCAGCATTCAGTCAGAACTGAAAAAACTTCTTGGATGAGAAGCAAAATGTCTTCAGGAAAAAAGTCCAGTTGCCTTTTGAAGAAAAAATCATCTTTGGGATATCCCTTATCAGTTTCACATGAAAGTATGATGAATATATAATAATTCTATTGAAGCCACTGATTAAATTCATTTTTTTTTTACTACTGATTCTGTGGGCATGGTGTGGCTGGCGTGGTGTGGCTTGGTGACCGTGGCAGGGGAAGGATACTGCAAAATCTCCATTCCCACCCCACTCTGGGGTCAGCCAGAGGTGGCATTTGCTGGTTCTCTGAACTACTCAAAATTTCCACTACTGGTTCTCCAAACTACTCAAAATTTCTGCTGGATTTCACTTGTAATTGAAGCCAATAGAATACCACAATCTATTTGGTAAAAAAGTGAAAATCTTTCAGTAATTTTTCCCCCCAGAAATTTCCAGGGCTTTTATAGCAAAATCGTTTTCCACCTCCAGCAAAAATGACTGGTTTTCTAAATATGTCAAGGGCTGATATTAGATTACTAATGGATGCTAGGTAAAGAATTGTGGGAGTCTTAAAGTTGCAAGGTTGAACACATTTGATTTAGAGTATTAATTAGTAATTTAAAATCAGTTTGATGGCTTTTTATAAAATCATGATGAATAATCATACGTAATACCAGCTGCAGTTTACATGCCAGCATTGTTATAAATATTTTTGCAGAAAAAAATAGTAGAAAATCAGAGAGTAATTTGCATAATCAGCAGGATCTTTCAAGTCTTCAAAATTAGTTATGTAAACTTTACTAAACCCTAACCCTAACCCTATAGTGACGTTATAGAAGAAATTTTACAATATTTTATAATAAGCCTCCAATTGAACTAAGCATGTGAACCAGTTGCTTTTCTTAATATATTTTTTGAAAAAGGAAAGTATGGGTACAGTCAGTTTGAAAATATGCAATTTTAGGTAGGGCTGTATTATATAAAAATATACATTTGATTCAATATTACATAATAAAATATTTTTAATGTTTACTTATTCAGTCAAAACATTATCAATTTTATCCTGGAATATTTAATAGTAGCAATAATATCAGATTGTTTTTTAATCTTATCATTTAATAGTATAAATACTATCACAGTAAAAGTAGTATCACACTTTCAGTTGAAACTAATACAGAACTATATTTGATACTATCACTCTAGTAAAATTCTGGAAAGGAATATAACCATAATGATTTCTTAGGCTCTGATTTGTTTTTTTAAAAAAACTTTCTGTCCAAAGATCAATACTAAGTCAGTTATAAATTTGCTATTTATTTTAATATTTATTTTAATATTTAATATTGTACATTTTTTCTTTTTATATTTGTTAAAGTCTGCACAAATGTATCAGGTATAGATAATAACACTGAATATTTGTTAATCTATATACATTTTCTTTAAAATGTATCATTTTTATGCTGTTATTTCTTCATAGTTTTGGCTGGGGATGAATGTTGCCTTGTTTTTTCATACAGCTGTAGCTTTTGTCCTTTATTGGCGGACCTCCTCAACAACCACTCATTTAGTGACTGTTTGAAATTACCATTGCACTGAACAAGGAGTATTT